TAACTAATGTGTTTTTCGTTCGAAACTTCATTCTTTCATATAGACGTCTCGTTTTCTCTACTTAGGTGGGATGGGGGAAATTATCCGTCATTAATTATATATATTCCCCATTTTTAGCTAGAAATTCTACTAAACTTTATATTTGTCTAGTTTTCTAAAACTGTCTTGAAAAGCTTTCCATATTTGATTATTAATGTAAAGACTGTGCGACTTGGTCTGACTAAACTTTTAATACACCTTCGCATAGGATAGCGTTTTTTTATTTTATATTTTTCTGACGTCAATCGTTATTTTTATTATTCATGTTGTCACTTCATCCTTTATAGAATACTTTTGTTTTTATGTACTTCAATCTTTGTTCACGTTGCCTCTCCTTTATTTATAGGAAATAGTTCATTCCGTAAGATGTTTTTCGTATATTTATAGGCATATATTTTATACGAAATTGTCGTTTCTTACGTTTATAGGAAATTATTTCTAAACGACATAGTCGCGTCCTATTTTTCATGGGAAATATTTATTTCCGTGATATATTTAATTTTTATTCGATCATGTTATTAATTGTTATATGTCTCATTTTTAAAAGATTATATATTTTTTCCTTCCTTATTTTCTCTGTATACTTTAATTCTCTCATTTTGAGAATTTTTACTTTATTTCTTGTGTTTCCGGGTTTTTTTTTCTCTGTTTCTTTCAGCGTTTCTTTTGATTGTTTCTCTCATCGATTCTTTTGGCTGTTTCTTTCCCCCCGTTTCTTTTGGCCGTTTCTTTCATCGTTATTTTTTTCACCGTTTTTTTGGCAGTTTCTTTGACCGTTTCTTTTAGCTGCTTCTTTCCCAGTTTCCTTTGGCCGTTTCTTTCACCGTTACTTTTTGGCGTTTTTTGGCTGTTTCTTTCACCGTTTCATTTTGTTGTTTTTGTCATCCTTTCTTTTGGCAGTTTTTACCTCCGTTCCTTTTGGCCAGTTCTTTCCCCGTTTCATTTCACCATTTTTTTCACCTTTTCTTTTGGCCGTTTCCTTCACTGTTTCTCTCACTGATTCTCTCCCCGTTTATTGGCTGTTTCTTTCACTATTTCTTTTTGCCGTTTCTTTCACCTTTTCTTTTGGCTGTCTCTTTCCCTGTTTCTTTCACCTTTTCTTTTGGATGTTTCTTTCACCTTTTCTTTTGGATGTTTCTTTCACCTTTTCTTACATCGTTTCTTTTGGCTGTTTCATTCACCGTTTTATTCACCTTTTCTTTTGGCAACTTCTTTCACTGATTCTATCACCGTTTCTATCACTTTTTCTTTTGACTGATTCTTTTACCGTTTCTTTCATTCTTTCTTTTGGCCGTTTCATTTACCGTTTCTTTCACCGTTTCTTTTCACTGTTTCTTTTACCGTTTCTATCACCTTTTCTTTTGACTGATTCTTTCACCGTTTCTTTCATCGTTTCTTTTGGCCTGTGACACTATTTAGCGGTCGCGTGAAAATCAAAAGCGAGAAATAATTAAGGCGAGAAGAAGCTGAAATAATTAAGGCGAGAAGAAGCTATCACGAAAAGACATACTGAGCGATGTTATTTTTTAACAAAGAAAAGTGATCAAGATTTTATTTTCATTTGCGAAGAAAAGTATTTTTTTTTCACAGAAGATAGGAAATTCATAAGATCTCAGATCTGTCTGAATTAATTTATGCTACGACGCGGCGAAAGAAGATAGCAATCTGCCCATGGCAATAATGAAAATTTCAAATTGGTCAAGTGGCCTACAAAACAGAATGCTAAGAGATAATCAAATTTAGGTCAAGTAGTGACCGAGAAATGCATCAGCTGAGGCCACCCCAGAGAGAAAGGGAGAGAAAGGAAAAGAATAAACCATTAACTATCTTTCGGAGATATAATTGTTTTTAGAAAGAAACCACCTGTTTTATTGTCCAGACTTGGACATGATAAAAAGTTTGTTACCGGGATAGATAATTGGATACAGAGTGCGAAGACGTCTAGATGACCACCCACTTGACACTGGCGAAAATCTCGTTGATAAATTCCAGATGACATTCGGTTAAGATAGAGATTAAGGACCACACTACGAGTCGTAGGGGTCTGGTGTCGGGAAAAGAAAGAAAAGAAAAAAAGAAGATATTTTTTCCTTTGAGCGATAATTGTAAACACCCGTGCTGCCGAGCGTCATTGGCTGAGTGGTGGCGTGAGCGGTGGGCGAAGGTAAACATATGAGAAGGAGGGGAAGCCTGTTGACGCCTCTGAGGGGATTGGTGTGAGATACCACTGTGAGAGAGAAGGGAAACCTGTTGAAGCCCTCTGAGGGGATTGGTGTGAGATACCAACATGAGAAAGGAAGAATTTAGGAGGACGATTCTCTTAAGAACCCCTCTAAGCAGAAAGTAATGGACTTCCAAAAATGGAAAGTGATAAATTTTCCTGTCCGAAAACAAAGAAAATCCTTATTGTGGATTTAGAATTTTCGAGGAGCTCAAACCCCGACAAGGCCACACCCGGTTTTGGTCGGCGTCCATATAAACAGAGTCGCAGCGAGTAGACGGCAGTTAGTTGCAGTTGCAGTTGGAGTTGGAGTTGGAGAGACGCAGACGTAGACGCAGAGTTGAGCTGTGAGCTCTGAGACCAGCCTCACAGGAAGCTGACTGAAGATCCACGCATTCCGACTTAAACTTCTAACCAAAAACAATTTATTTTTGAATACCGACTTAGACTCACACCACCAAAACAAGTTTTACGAATATCGCCTAAAGATACAAAAAAAACAGTTATTGAAGAACAACTTAAGATATTAAGACTCGCCTAACAAACGCAAAGCGTCACTTATCCATATTAGCGGGTTGGGAGAAAGACGCAGTCCTGTATTCAGCAACCAGATATAAAAATATTTGTTATTTTTTTTAACACATTTGAACTTTTCGAGTTGTTACTTTATTTTCTTTTACATATACTTGTGCGATGTCACCTTTGTTTGAATTCGGCTTGCATTACGGCCCGGCGACTGATTGATTTCGTCTACCTGAGATCAAATCACAACGTGGGTAGGTTAGACTAGAAGTCCAAGCAATTACTTCGGTAACCAGGCGTTGGAGGCGAGCTGGGAACGACAAAGCTGATACCGAATCTATCCAGATTCCTATCCGAATCAGCCAAGGGTTAGAACGTCACATTTTGTGCCGTGACAGCAGGATCACGTCACATTTGGTACCGCGACCAATACCAAGTCACATTGGTCGTCACAGGATAGCTCGGGGGAGGCCGGTGTGACGTCACAGGCCGTTTCATTTACCATTTCTTTCACTGTTTCTTTTCACTGTTTCTTTTACCGTTTCTATCACCTTTATTTTGACTGATTCTTTCACCGTTTCTTTCATCGTTTCTTTTGGCCGTTTCATTTACCGTTTATTTCACTGTTTCTTTCACCGTTTCTTTTGATTGTTTGTATCGCCCTTTCGTTAAGCTGTTTTATTTTTTCACCGTTTCTATTACCGATTCTTTTAGCTGTTTCTTTCACCTTTTCTCTCACTGTTTCTTTTTAGTGTTTCTTTTTACTGTTACTTTCACCGCTTGTTTCACTGTTTCTTTTGGCTTTATCTTCCATCGTTTCTTTTCGCTGTTTGTTTTGTGACGTCGTCCCCCCTGGTCGCAGCGTCGACTGTGTCGTTCGATTTCGTTCGCGGCGCCAATTGTGACGTGACGTGGTCCGGGGTTCTGATCCTATGATCACGACACCAGTTGTGACGTCTTTGCCGCGGCGTCAGCTGTTCGCTCCTCGCTGCTCCAAGTGTGACGTTCTAACCCTTTGGTTAGATGAATACCAGCCTCGTCGTTCCCAACCCGCTTCCAACGACTGGTTACCAGGGTAACTGCACTGATCTCCGGTCTGCCTACCCACGCTGTGATTAGATCTTAGACAGACGGGATCAAACAGGGATTGCGCCGTATGCAAGCTGAGTCCAACGGGGGTGATAACACACAAGAAAAATAAAAAAACTCACAAGGTCAAAAATATTGAAGAAAAAGGTAACAACTCTTTATATCAACTGCTTGTTACACAAGATAATTCTACCTCCCGACCCGTTCTGTGGACCGTGGCACCAATCTTCTACCATACAACTTTAAGGCTTCGAGTTGCTTGCTCTCTAGAAATTTGCATTTCGGGGTGTGGTTTGGTTTCAACACTGGGCGCTGATCTCTACCTGTCGTTCACGGCTGATTTCTCTCGCCGTCCGTGGCTGCAATTAAAAAACTCTTCTCTTCAGAGTCTGAATTATTGTTCACTCATCTCCGCCGTCAATGCCCGAATTAACTTCTTCTCTTCGGAGTCTGAATTGCTGTTCGCTCATCACCGCCGTCAGTGCGCGAATTGGCTTCTTCTCTTCGGCTTCGGTTGGACGAGCTTATTCACTTCGGCTTGGGTTGGACGAATTTCTTCCATCGGTTTGATTCAACTTCTCCACTTAGGCCAAACGGGCTGCTTCACTTCGGCTTCTCTTGCCCGCAAGGGGACGAATAAACCGGGCCCGCCGCCCGCGTTCAAACTCCATCGCCGTCCGCGCTGCAACTGCAACTGATTTCTGTCGGTTGGGGTCTCGCTTTTATTGAGGCAGTTAAAAACTGGGGTGGGTCTGTCGGCGCCAGGGTTTTCTTGATAATTCTAAATACGTATTATTTCTTATTAGGGATTTTCCATTTTCGGTAACTTACTTTCACTCCTACTTCCTTACTGTGCCTCTGGGTGGGGCGTATACCCGCTTCCCCTGGTCCTTCGTATGTCAGGTGACCGCTCTCGACCAATGGGGTCCTGGTAAGGCATCTTTCCTTCTCCCTCGCACATCATGTGACCGCTCTCGGCCAATGGGGTCCTGGTCGGGTGTCTCTCCTCCTCCCTCATGTATCATGTGACCTCCTTCGGCCAATGAGACTCTGGTCGGTATCTTTCCTCCTTCCTTCGTGACGTCTTTAATCGGGCGTGGACAATCCGTGGCTTTGTTCTGGGGGGAGAAACACCTTGCTTAAAGAAACAAAAATTTAAATTGTCCTTTTCGTATGTGACCTAAATGACGATCCCGGTTTCTTTTACACGCGGTATTTGTCAAACATTCTATCGCTAATTGGATACGATCTAAGAAAGGGATTTCTTAGACCTGTCGGCGTTTCTCTGAACGCAACAAAATATTTCATTCTCCTCCGGCCGATAATAAAATTCTGTATTATCTCAAAAAAGCGACATCACCCTGGGTGGCTTTTTCCAACTCCAGAAATTGTCTGGCTTCTCGTATTAATGGATTGTCTGTATATCCTTAGATAAACTTCCCACCTGTTACCTATCATATTTTTTCCATTGTCTCTAAACTTTATTTCTTCAACCAAATTGATAACAAACTTCCATCCTCCGCGGACACGGAAGTAGGTCAGGTGCTTGACCTGATATTTTTGACATCTGATATGTGCCAGTCGAGCGTGTGTGTTTTCAACCTGGTTTCGTATTATTTATTTTCTCCTTTCTTTCTTTCCTTTCTTCTTCTTTTCTTTCTTTCTCTCAGATCGCCTGAATGTAAAGAAAGAATTATTCCTAACCCCGAAATATTTTTCAGCTCTAAATAATTATCAAATGGTTAACAAACCGAAAAAAACAAACCATATATTTATGAATATCTCTCTTCAGTTTTCTAATTATGCATGGTGCCACAGTTTCACCGTTTCGTTGACGCTTTCTTTCGCAGTTTCTTTCTTTGTTTCTCGCGTTTCTTGTTTATCGCCCATTCCCATTTTTTGGTTTTATCCTCCCTTCCTCTCTTTCCCCTCTTTATCCTGCCTTCCGTTTCTATCTTTGACTCTCACCCGTTCCTATCTCTCCCTCGTTCTTCTCTTTGTTTCATTCTCTCCTCGTTCTTGTTTTTTTGTGTTTTTTTTTTAATATACATCTTTCTTTTTATTGGGAAGAGGTTTTGCATTTTCTTATTTAATTTTCTTTCGATCTCTTTTATGCTTTTTCTCATCATTTTTTTGCAATGGTGTTTAAATTCTAATTTGTTTATATTTTTAATTTTCTTTGGCTTTCTTTTCGATCATTAGATTTTCACCCGAATTTCTTTCCACTTATTTCCTTTCATTTCCCAGATGCTTTATCGATAACCAACTTCACATTCGTAGTCTCCATATCAGGAACAGCACTTATGACTTAATTTTTTTTTTTAACATTTCTTGTCATTTGTTTGGCTTTTAAGCTACTTTCCTCGTTTTTGTTATTTATTCCCCCACAACCACTTAAGTTACCGGCAGCTTTAAACATGACATCTTTTTTCTATAACATGTCCTATTATAAAACTCCCCTTTCAAAATGTGTATATGAGCGATACAGTTTCCTGTCGTTAAAATATATTTGTTTTCTTTCTGACGCAAACTTCCAAGGGAATGAAAAAGACAGCAAAACTAATAACGAAATACCAAAGAAACGAGGGAAATTAACCATCAAGAAGGATAAAGACAGTTAATTCAATCAATCTTGAAAGAATCAAAGAGATCGCTGTCGGCATTTTAAACAGACAGGAAAGAAATCCTAGTTATCATCTCCGCATTGACTGTAATGTTCATCACATGAAGGCGTTTATATTAAAGGACGCAAACATGGTCGTTTTCTGCGCATGTGCATTGTCCTATAATTTCCTTTCGGTTGTAAAAGCTAAATCAAATATTTAGATTACTTCTAATCTTAGCTTAACCTGACACAACCAACAATAATGCATTAGAAATTAAAGGTCGAAATGAAAAGAGAGTTACTGAGATTAGCCGCTTAGCAATCAGTAGACACTCACTGGCGATAATTTAAACGCTCATGCATGTTCTCACCAGAACTTAACCTATGCAGCGAGACGATTCGGAGAGAATTGGAAGACCTAGCAGGATTCATTATTTACAGCTACTATCTCAACATAGGATATGAAGATGACAGTGTTTATATCAAAAGGAGAAAATGAAGTACCGGAACTGGTACAAAAGGTATTGAAGGAAAGTGACAAGAAAAACTAAACATCAGTTGCAAGAAGACAAAATGAACAGTTGTTAGCAAAAGGAACTGCCCAACATGCAAACTGCAAATTGGAGATAACGAAATCAAACAGGTTCAAGAATTTAGATATCTGGGAAGCACATTAACAGAAGACAGAAAGTGTGTCAGTGAAATTCAAAAGCACACGGGTTTAGCGAAAGATGTCTTCCGAAATCAAAGTAAAGGATTAAGAAACAGACATATATCGTTAGAAGCAAAGAAAAGTGTACTGGAATGTTATGTAAAATCCGCCCTTCTATATGACAGTGAATGCTGAGGCGATTTGAATCAAAAGATATGTGCTTCTACAGAAAGATGATGGACAATGCTCCTACAGAAGCTAGTGAAGGAAAGCGAGAAGAAAAGACTAATCATCAACTGCAAAAAGACTGAATGCAATGCTGTTAGCAAAAAGAGAAGCTTAAAATGCATATTAGAAATTGGAGATGCAGAAATCAAACAGGTGCAACAATGTAGATATCTAGGAAATGTATTAACAGAGGACGGACAGTACAATACGGGTATCCTAAGGTGCATTGAAATAACCTGAGAAAAGTATTATGAAAGAGAAAAATACCGATAGAAACAAAACAAAACAGTGTACAGAACTGTTATACAGTATCAATCTTTCTACAGGTCAATGACTCTTGGACAAGCGCCTCAAAATGAAGCAACAGAAATGCGGCCCAACAGAAAGTTGTCGAAGAAATCATGGACCTAACATGGGTGCAACGGCGAAGTTCTAGAAACAATGGCGGCATAAAGGAAGAGACAGGTGACATTTCTGGGACACATAAGTTGAGGAGCAAAATTTGTTGCTTAAATGACAGATTGTCGAAAAGAGGGCCGGAGGAAAGCAACTCACAACTTACTTTTGAGCCTGATCTTATGTATGGCGAGCAGGGTTTAGAAGAGATGATAAAATTTATTTAAAGCTACGAAGGACAGGAAATTGTGAAAAGCCATGATCACCAACATGTTGTAAGGATGCAGCACATAGAATTAGGGAAATATTAACCGTTTCCCTACAAAATTTGACATTAATTGGACGAGAAGCCAGTACTGCTTACGGCTGAAATTTATCTGTAGAAAACAACTTTTTCAAAACCAATAGCTGTTATCGCTCTTTCCAGTATTGATGTTGATTTCATTCTTAAACTTTTATTTGAACTTAATGGAATGTTAAAATCTTGATTATATCAGAATTTCCTCTTAGTCCCATGTGTTAACCATTTTAGTTGTTGCTGCTGTTGATAGTCCTCATGTGATGTGATTTGTATTATTTGGTATAATTCTTTGAATATTCTGTCCTGGTACCTGAGAATCACGAAGAAGGATAATCTTTGCAAAGACTCTCAGGTTTTACTAGATCAAAGCTGTTTTCATCCTTGATCTTAAGATACAGCTGACCGTTCATCTATTTCTGGATAGTATGGGCGCTATGCATTCCATGCATATGAATGCCTCGATCTAAAGAGACGATTAAAGTTGAATTGAGGTTTCAGGTTTATGTTTAAATTTCATTGCATTTTGTGGTGCTGTGTGAAACTATCTCTCGCACATCAAATGTCCTGTTCCTTTCATCGCCTGTACTTAATTTGTTATAACCACTGCATACGCTGTGGCATCTGAAGTATTTAGTATTTACCAGTTCCACATACCCTGAAGCTATAACTAAAGTTCAGTAAGTGCCCTCACTGCTTTCATTCCAATTCCACTTTATTTCCTAGTTTAAATTCAGTCACACATCTTGGAAATCTTGACAGATGTTATTGATTTTCTCTTTTGATATTTTTTTTCATTCTATATCGCAACTATGAATACTTATTTGAAGGTACTACAAAATCTCCTGTTCCTGACTCATACAAACGTACTCACTTTAAATATCAAATCTAGATGGTAAAAATTATTAGCTCTCAACTGTATAGTACTGATCCATATTAGTGTAACAGGTACATCTACTTTTTTGGTAAAACAAAAAACATAGCATGATGAAAAAGGCCCCAACCTTGGTGAAAAATTTTTAACGGCAAAATATTTGTAATTATTAAGAGAAAAGACCAATGTATTTTTATATTTTTATTAATTTTTTAAATCCTTCCTTTCGTTAAAAATCTTTTTTTTTTTATTGTGCCAGCAGTGATACAACGGTTACACTAGGAAATACAGCTTTCTGTTGTGAATTGTTTTTTTTTTTTTTGTTGTTGTTTTTTTTTACATTCATGCATAAATTGGCGCATCTTAATGAAATTTTCCGGACATATTCACAAAAGAATGAAATTAATTTTGCATGTTTTTTTTTTTGTTTTTTTAGAGAATTTTGGTAGTTTTTTACAGATGTTATCCCCACTTATTTAATTTTAAGAAATTTCGGAAATTTAAAGTTTTCATCCGAATATTTTATATTAGTTAAAAGCAGATCTTGGGGAATGTAAGTCAATTTGTTTTGTTAGCGAACAGTTACTCATTTAGCAAATCGTAAAACAGAAAATACTATAAAACTATGTCATTATTTAATTGAATATATAAATGACTATACCGAATAATATAGATAGAGTAAACTATGCTTTGAATCTAACGTCATAAGAATTACGACAAAGAGGAAATGAGAGCCATAACCTATTTAATCTCTTCTCAAACTGTGTCCTGTGCATTTTCATACACAGATGTGAGGAGATGGGTACTGACCATGTAAGTATTCCATACTGCATTGCAAATGAATTTATCTATAAAAGACAACGAATTTGCATTCCAACCCGAGACCAGTGTACTGACGATGAGGGGGACAATGCTTGTGGCATAGGTATTCATAGTTGTGATCGTAAAAGCATCGGTGTTTCAACCTGATCTAGCCGTAAGCTAATATCTTTTGAAGGATCGAAAACCGTACATTGTATCATTTTCTACGCCTTAACAATTTGTACATTATTTAAAATCAGAAAATACTTTTAAATTGTAAGAGGAAGCACGGTGGAGTAATGGATAACTGCTCTGATTGAGAAATCCGAGAGTTCGAATTCCAGTCGAATCCATTACATTCATTTATTTGCTAATACCCTGTACTTCTCCCCCCACCTATGAGTAAATAGCAGGACAGACCGGGTTCTATAGCCTTGAATGGCAACTGGTCTACCGCAGAAAGAAATGGCAACCTACTACGGGTAAAAAAAAAAAATCTTCCTAGTCAGTCATGTATCGAAAGATACATGATCGCCTAAGCGTGTATCACGCATGGCACATAACTGACTGACGAGCTTTTGCGAAGTTAATCACTACTAATTATTCCATAGCCTGTGGTGGGGGTGTATTCATACCTTTCCCAAAAGCATTTGCGCGTAAGTGAATATCCCGACCTCAAAGGGAATTGGAACACGTCTCTCCGATTAACAATTCCGAGCCATTGTCCATTACACCAGACGCACATCCAAGCTTACAGCACCTGGTATTCACAAGCGGTCACACATCTCGGTACTGACTACGCGCAATATTGCCTAACTTTCAACGTCAGCTGGCCGTAAGCCTGCATGTATACAATAAGGTAATGGAATAAAACATTCGTTCGTAAGTTTGAGATAGCAAGTGTGGGTTCAGTCAGTGAGTTTGGTAGTACAAACTCAGAAACAGTTCGAGCATTCTGTGCTCTGCAATAAAATACCAGATACCCAGAGAAAAAATTAAGAAAACTCAACGGCTGAAATATTCTGATAACAAAAAAGATAGGGACATTAGTATGAATGTGTATGATGGAATTAACAGTAATTACTCATGCCAGAAATTCAGTAAGAAATTGTATAATATTATCAAGTTTGGCAGACCATCGTTCAATGATGTTTATTTATATCTGTTGTAAGTCAAACTTACAAGAAAATCACTCATTTAGGAATCATTCCCTAGAAATAAAGACATTCTCAAAGAAAGTGATCGATATATTCATTAAAATAAAAAGGATCTCTTCTCCGTAATGGACGTCTGATAGTTGACTACAATGGCTTCAAACATGGAAGTAGGATACTCGCACTCTAACCGTCTATCTCTCTCACTCTGCCTCTCCCCCTATATCTCTCACTCTCTAGCTCTCTCTCTCTCTCTCTCTCTCTGCCTCACACACTCTCTCTATCTCTGCCCCAACCTCTACCTCTCTCATTCTCATTCATCGTGATGCTTAAAAGCCACCACACAAAGACTCTTATTCAGGTCTAATATTAATACAATACTTTTCAGGATGTTGATGATCATGGATCTCCACAGCATCCTGTAATGTCTTACTCTACATTACCGTTGCCGTATAAGAACTACCTTTTTGTCTGGAGTAATAAATAGCGGCTCGGATTGAGGAACCGGAGAGCCGAGTTCGAATTCCAGTCGAATCCATTATATTCACTTACGTGCTAATACACTTGGGAAAAGTATGTATCCCCTTCTTCTCACCCGCCTCGCCCGGCCAGCTAAGGAGAAATAGCAGGACAGACCGGGTTCTATAGCCTTGGCTGACAACTGGTCTACCACAATGAAATGACAACCTACTGAGTGAAAACAAATCTGACTCGTCAGTTATGTATCGAAAGATACATGATCGTATAAGCGTATATCACGCATGGTGCATAACTGACTAAAGAGGCGTTCTCATACATTTATTATGCCCAGTGAATGTTAAATTATACAGGGTCTCTTTCCTTTTTATGCGTTTGAAAAAAATGTAGGTAATATAGGACTTTCTTTGTAGATTCTGTTCTCTCAAAAAACCGCTAGTCCATCGCACTGTCTATTCTCTTAGGCATTGTTCTTCATAGATTCGTACGCCGTATTCGCTACATGATGTTCCAATGATTTTCTTTAAAGATTTTACTTAATGGACAATTGAATATATTTACGGTAAATATTGAACTTCCCTTAATAATTAATGCCACAAGAATGGGCGCTATGTTCGTGAAAGTCGAGAACAGCCATCTAGTACAAATGGAAGTCGAATGCCTAATACAGAAGCTGGGGTTTCGGGTCGGGGAACAGAGATTCTCAAAGGAAGTGATCGATATATTCCTTAAAATAAAAAGGATCTCTTCTCCGTAATGAACGACTGACTACAATGGCTACACACATGGAAGCAGGACACCCGCACTCTAACCGTCTCTACCTCTCTCACGCTGCCTCCCCCCATATCTCTCACTCTGCCTCACCCTCTATCTCTGTCTCTGTCTTACCCTCTATCTCTCTCACTCTCCGTCAACATATAGCTCTCTCATTCTCACTCACCGTTTCACTCTGCCTCATCGTATCACTCCCCCTGTCTCTATCACCATGTCTGTCTCTCTCCTTTTGTGTCTCTCTTTGCGTCTCTCTCTCTCACTCCGTGTCTGTCTCTCTCACTCTCTGTGTATGTCTGTCTGTCTGCCTCTCTCTCTCTCTCTCTCTCTCTCTCTCTATCCGTGTCTCTTTCTCTTTCTCGTCCAAAATTAGGGATAAAGATGTGGTAATGCTGTAAATTTCGTGCACCTTACCGATGCCTGCCATTTTTTCCCCGGTGCTTGTGAAACGCATCTCCGATCAACAATGTTCATATGTTATATATTCGTTCCCGTAGCAAAAACGGATAATGGCGTCTGCGTATCTGTCAAAAATACATTTTATTAAGTTTCAATCAAAAATCTAGCGCCATTGCTTTTTGTTGTCAACATATGTAATCGAAGAACAGAACAATCGAGAATCACCAGAAACCGGCAGAAAATGATCGATTTTTCTCCGCAACGTCCAGATAACAAAATGAAGACAGTGTGCCAATTTCATCAAGAGGGACGTTATGCACTTATTATCACTTTAAGTTCAATTGGTGCTACTATCCTGGGGAAAGGTACGAATCTTCTTCTTCTAAGCTATGGGTAACTATAGACCGGGTTCTATAGCTTTGGATGATAACTGGTCTACCGCAGAAAGAAATGGCAAGCGACTGCGTGAAAAAAAATCTGCATCGTCAGTCATGTATCAAAGATATATGATCGCCCAAGCGTGTGTCAGGCATGGCACATAACTGACTGATATATGAATCAAACGGCGTTACATTCTTATAGTCCTAAAAGAGTTTTTTTTTTTTTTTCAAACTGGTAATTAAAAATTCTTAGCACATACGATCAAGGTAAATGTAGTATTAGCCATTTCCTTATAACGAAACATTTGGCATTCATTAAACGAACAGCTTTTACTAACGTCGGTTCAAATTTATAAAATCTTTTTCTTAAAAGAAATATTCAGGAAAACAGACTTTTAAGTCCTGTAGCCGTTATCGCTCTTTCCAGTATTGATGGGGGTTTCCTTCCTAGCCTTACCTTTTCAGTAGTGGAATGTCAAAATCATGATTATGCCATTATGTTCTACACGAGCAACATATCCGTTTTAGTTGTTGCTGTAAAACCTTAATTTTTAGGAGTTCCTTCTTTGTAACGCCAAGAAACATGGTATTCCAAAACTATCTGTCTTAGGTCTTAAAAATATTTGTCTTTCTTCATTTTTTCCTCTCTAACCCTGTTCTAGAAACTATGTACACGAACTCGTTATGTAACATACACCCAACTTTACATTGTACCTCTTTAATTTAATGTTTCATATGATGCCAATATCAATAGAAGTTAAAATTATTAAATCCTCATTAAGATTCCCAAATCTCTTTTAATTGACAGATCAAATTTTTATCTTGCACTAAATAGGATATTAAAAAATACTATTTTTGCGAGATTTTTCTTTTCCATGTCAAAATAAATGTATGTATGAATATATAAGTCTAGGTACGTACATCCAGCCAGCAAAAGCATATATAAATGAACAGAAATCATCGCGAAATTCCTCCTGTTTTATCACTTATGATAAGCCGTTAGAATCTGGCAATTGATTTTCAGAATTTGGAAAGATATTATTTTTTTGTATCGGGGGAGCTTAACATTGACTATCAACTCCGTTGAGAATTTGCTTTTAAATCTTTTATAAAGTTTTTTTTTATATTTTTTTATTTATTTATTTACCATAATTTTCTACTACTCTCCAATATTTTGTTTTGTTTTCTTTAACGGAAAGGCTGCTGCTGGTATTGTTATTTTTTTTTTATTATTATTCCTCTTCCTCCAGCAAGTAAAAACTCTTTTTTATGTACAATTTCTATTTTCTTTTGATATATATATATATATATATATATATATATATATATATATATATATATATATTTTCTTTGATATATATATATATATATATATATATTTTTTGATATATATATATATATATATATATATATATTTTTTGATATATATATATATATATATATATATATATATATATATATATATATATATATAATATATATAAAAAAAAGAAATTATATAAATATATATATATATATATATATATATATATATATTAAGAAATGGACAAGGTCCGACAATTTATTTATTAAAGACATTTTTTTATGTTTAACGTTGTTATTTATAGATACAAGTATTTAAGCAAATGCTCTGTTTATGACAAACAGTATTAAATAACATTTACCGGCCTGAATGTCCGAGAAATTTCATAGAAAGAATATTTTCTATGAAAATTTCTCGACATTCAGGCCGGTAAATGTTATTTAATACTGTTTATTATAAACAGAGCATTTACTTAAATACTTGTATCTATAAAAAAGAACGTTAAACATAAAATGTCTTCAATATATATATATATATATATATATATATATATATATATACATTTTTTCTATTGGTTATGTATTTGTACTTATTTTCTGCACTGGATTTGCTTGTTACACGTTCAACCCCGTTAATAAAACGCGCAAGAAAATGAACTTCTTCGACATTCAGAAGTGTCCAAATTAATTGTTTTCTTTTTACCTCAGATAGTCTCTACAATATGAAGTACGCAATATGAAGCATTGTTAACAAACTATAAGCCATCAGAAGCTAATAAAAATGGCATCTATTACAAAGAACGTAAACTAATATTTATTGTTTGTTTGTTGTTGTTTTTTGTTTTTTTTAAAAGGGTAACATGATTTTACATGATCTAGTGGCTAACACAAGCTACAAAACGTGATAGACTGACGTCACGGAGGTAAGAGGATCAGTCAAAGTATGGCGTGCAAGTCAAAATGTTTTTCGAGGCTTAGAAAGAAAATTTAGACAGTAGCAGAAACAGTAAAGTCGCCGAAGAAATTGAAAGAGGCAATAGAGTTTAAATTCCGGTATAGTCTGTTCACGTACATTTTCTTATAAATATTAGGAAAGCCTTGGATTCGTCTCTAGTCCGTACCCCGGCTAAGGGCTAAATAACAACTGAGACTGTACTCTTTATAATTCAGACAATTCCCAGATTGATTAATCGGCGAATAGACATGGTCGCCTACGACCTAAAGAGACGTAGCATTTTTTATGAAAGCGTATGATTAAGACTCTCTATCAACAATAACCGTTTACACAATGATCGTGGCTCTCCACAATTTCCTGTCATTTTTTTCTCTGAATATTTTTGTTACGGTTTAATCTCACTCTTAAACCTTCTTCAATCGTCCTTTCATTCAAATTTGTTTAGTAATTTACTCGTTGTCTCCCCTTGACTTTCTTGCATTTACACTGCAGAGTGTTAACTTCTTCATATATTCTTTCCTCATGATGTGTCGAAGCTGTCTCTTTGCGATAGTTAGTGTGATTCTTCTTGAAGTTCCGATTATCCTTAAAACATTTCGTTATCTAATCAAACTTTTTGCATCCAGTCTCTTTTACCGTTTCCCCTTCCTCTCTAAACAATACAAAGACAAATCAGTGTACCTATTGGTCTTGCCTTCGCATCCCAGCTTCAGTTACTTTTCGGCCATTTTCATTTGTACCTCGGTTTCAGAAAGTCAACTGCAGTTCTTTTCATAATTTCATTCTTAACGTAAGTTCTATGCTAATAATTTCCTTTCCCACACGAGGATTTCTTGATTCCCGGTCAAATCCAAACTTTAAAAAAAGAAAAGAATATGCAATGTCTTTCGACATTTTTCTCATTCGCCGAATATTTTTATCCTTGTGGTTCTTGCTTGGTGTGAATTAATTAAAACGATGTAAATACCACAAACATTAATTCAATTTTTTTCCTAGATTCTGAGACAGTGTACTCACCTAAGCAATGTACAAGACTAGAGAGCCTCGTCTATCCTGTCTTTCCACGTATTTAATTACTTGAATATACCTTAATTTACATAAATAGTGGAGTGGCTTCCAGTTGCCTTTTCCACGAATTTGAATTCAGCGTAACCTTTCGTTTAGACTAGTTACAGTCCAAGACTAGAGAGCCTCGTCTATCCTGCTCTTCCTGTCAGTAGTTTATGTTCGAAGTCAGGCAAATGTTTTGAAGGTTCAGACCGTCATCAATAGCAATATAGACCTTCTTCGCAGGCTCATTGACCTTGTTCGCAGGCACATATTCTTCCCAGGCACATAGATCATCTTCCGAAGGAATGCAGGTTATCATAGCAGTCACATAGACCATCTTTCCAGGCATATAGACCTTCCAGTCCACAATGCGAAATGACTTAAATCAAATTTTCTACTCACATTACCCTAACATTAGACCTATGAGTTACTTGACTATATTTCGTAAGTATAGAACCTTTTTTTAATGTTTGAGAACTGTGGAATTCAATTGTTTCATTATATACCCTAACTACTCGAGTATAGTGCGCATTTTCATGATCAATTTTTTTCTTAGGGGGAACAGAGGGGTCGTACTATAAAGAGTAATTTTTTTGGAGATGCTAAAAATCTTGCATTTTCGGTGACCGTTTGCAATATACGCATGTATTTTTTCTGGAGATTTAAAATTCATGCAAAAATATATCAAGGTAACACTACACATTAATTCGGCTTATATTTAATGCTATCATTAAGACGCTGATGATTATGTCTTTCCACGTATTTAATTATTTGAATATACCTTAATTGACATAGTTACTTTGCTAAAATAGGCGAGTGGCTTCCAGTTGTCTTTTTCACGAATTTGAATTCAGCGTAGCCTTTCCGTTAGACTGGTTACAGCCCTAAAACTAGAGAGCCTCGTTTATCCTGCTCTTCAGTCTATAGCTATAATGGTAAAAGTAAAATTAATTACTTTCCTCGGGAATTTCCGCGAAAGTGAACTCAGTAGATTAAGGGAGAATTTGAACTCGGATCTCTGATTTCATTTTCCGCAACAATAAATTTTATGTTGGTCACAAATCTTTATTATTATTATTATTATTATTATTATTATTATTATTATTATTATTATTATTATTTCCTTTGATTTCTGGCGTATACACATTTCTTTCCGGGTCTCGCCAAGAGACCTAAGGTTAAAAATGGCATCATGACACTTTCCAGTGACAAAAAAAAAGAAATATTTTACATAGATAAAGCCCTTCGTAAAGTGTGGGCTGTACTTATGAGAACTATTTTTTGTAT